ATATATATATGAATGGGTACTCAGCTATATAGAGAGCGAATGATCTTCTTAGTTTATTAATGTTTTAGCGCCGGCAAAATGGCAGCTTGCACGGTATGCTTTTCAGAAAGTTAAGATTCTTTCAGAACGTTACCGTGTCTGCTCGGGTAATAATATCATGGATTTTAAAAGCGCACAGTGTTTGCTGTTCAGGGGGGAATTTGCGCTATACAATAGATGCTATTAATTATTTTTATTATTGTTTTTCAACTCCTTTCGGTGTCCGTCAAGAAGCAAAAACTTTTCATTATTATTTATATGCTAATATTGATAGTAGATAGCATTGTGCTGAGCATTTTCAATTTCTAGAAAATGCTAAATGTGCGTTACATTCACAGAGATATCACATTCTGAAATTCCTGGATAGGCGTGTACATGAAACATAATATCATGTACATATATATATATATATATATATATGTATTTAAAAAATCTATGATAAAATTGGTCACGCGGTGAGCCTGGCAATGCGTAAACGAATATAATAGTATAGAATACAATAAAAACTCTCGAACGGTCACTATAAAACGGAAACTTGAATGGCTACAAGCAGAATAAAATGATCGTTCTCTGGAGATGGAATATTATTTTCGCTCTAGAATATTATTCCCCCCCTCTCTCTCTCTCCCTCCCTCCCCCTCTCTCCCTCCTTTCCTTGCTCTCTCTCTCTCTCTCTCTCTCTCTCTCTCTCTCTCTCTCTCCCCTCTCTCTCTCTGCTATCCGAAAGACTCGTGTCCCTGATCAAGTGGCGGGTGATTGGAGGACACCACTAGTAACTCCTACTTCTTTCTTACTTCTCCCTCAGTTATTTCTGTTCGTCTGTCTTACCCCCCCCTCCCCCAGGCACTAAATTACTTAAACAAACAAGCAACGTGAGTGGTTGACGGGTGCTCTGGTGTGGTTTGCTCCTTCCTTCATATAAAAATTCTATCTTCCCTATCTCCCCTCCTTCTTTTTTGTGTTTGTTACTCTCTTGTAACACGTCTAATCTTCGTCACTTATATGACCTTGTTGTGTTGCAAGTGCCGTAAAATTCTTACTAAAACTAAAACAAAAAAACGAACAAACAAACAAACCAAAGATTCAGATATTCTCTCCCCCCCCCCTTTCAGTCCATCTCCTATAATCATATGCTCTCTCTATCTTCCACTGACATGTCTGTGTCCTACCATGGTAATTCTCAAACCCTCACTGACCGAAGCTTCCCTGTTATGAGACCATTAGCAGCCTTAAAAAAATGCAACAACAGCAAAAAAGTGGAGCCCCGATATAGAACGCTTAATTCTCTTGTGGCCGGTAACTCACCCTTTTTATGGCTTTTGCACTGTTCATTTTTTTCCTCTTGTCGATGTGCTCGTCTCC